GATGGCCAAGGTTTGGAGCCCCGGGCAGGGGCCAGGTGGGCGGAGCCCGCCACTCACGCCTCCGAGTGGCCCTGCGCCGCAGTCGGTAGGTGTCCTTCCCATTGCACAGGTGGTAGATGAAGGAGCCCAGGGCCTCCTTGTCGCTGACGTGCTCTGTGACCACCATCTCCTCCTGGATGATGTACGTCTGTGGGAGGTAGGTCCCTCTCTGCAAAGGGAGTGGCCGCAGAGCTGGGTCACTACCAGAGCTCCCCTCCCGTGGTCTCCACTTGCGAACCGCCCACTCCCCTTGTGACCATCCTTCTTGTTGGAGCTGTGTCCCCACAATGCTGAAGTGCACACACGCCGCCACGTCCCCCATCCAAGGCCCCGCGGCTCAGCTTTCCCGCTGTGCCACGCACTGCCACCTGCACTGCCATGAATTCTGCTTGTCGGGGGGTCTGGTGTCTCTCACCCTAAGGGCAAGGCCCCCGCCTCTCCCTGCTCCGCTGACTGGGGCAGCCGGGAAGCTAAGGAAGGCGGCCTGAGGCTCCTCATCAGAGGAGGCGGAAGCTCGCGTAGGAGAAGGGAATGGAGGACGGCCAGTCTGGGATGCCGGGGACGATGTCCCTGGGCCCCACCTTCCACCAAAGCAACCTGCCTTGCCCCGGGCCGGGCCTCCACAGGGCAGGGCGACCAGGTAGGGACAAGATGCCACCGACACCACCGCTCACCTTCACGTTCATGAGGAGCTCCCAGAAGTTTCGAGGGGGCAGCACAATGGTGGTGTTGAGCTCGATGACGTAGCACTTGTCCAGGGAGATGTCATGGTAGGCGGTCAGACCCTGCGAAGGGGAGGCCGCGTCAGTCCCTGCGGGCGAGGGCCTGGCCCAGGCGGGGCTGCCGGGGGGAGGCCACCAGCCCGCGAAGGCAGGAGCCCCGCCCTCCCACAGTGGTACCCCCGATTCCCGAGACCCTGGGTGGCCGCTCCCTCTCTCTGCTCCCTTCCTAGCCTGTTTGTAGAATCGCCTGCTAGACACAAGACACCAACTGTGAAATCCTCAGCTGTTAGGGGGTCCTTTTCATGGGGTAACAGAGTTGAGGTTTGGGGAACCTAGTAATGTCCCAACTGTGCATTTCATCCAACCCGTGAGGTCCGTCCCTGTGGACAGCCTGCACTCTCAGCGAGGGGGCTCCAGCCCAGGCCCTCTGTCTGCTACACCTCGATAAAATGTCAACACAGAAATAACCTCAATAAAAAGGGACACTAGCCTCACCCATGACAGCCAGCATCTGCAGCTGTCAGGTGGCAAGAAAATCAACATGGCTGGTTCATACTCAGTGCTATATAATGAAATGCATTACCTAGATCATAAAAGCGAAGTCTTTACAACCTCGATACAGCCACACTACAGTCAACTCCTACGCACAGGTGCTATTCCTGGTACTAGTCAAAGGACGGACAAGGGACACGAGCGTTCTCTCTCCCATGACTCGCGGTGGGAGGGGGCTCCGGGCCCGGGGGCCACCCTCTCGCCGCCCTCTCGCCGCCCCCGCCCCAGCCCCTGGCCGGCCTCACCCGCTGGAAGTCATGGATGATGTCTGCGGGGTCGCCGCCGCCAAACTGGGGCACGGGCACGTTGATGCGCTCGTAGTTGTCCTCGAGGTAGATCTTCACGTCCTCCTCCAGCTCCATCCGCGTGCGGGCCTGGGAGGACAGGGAGTCCTCGTAGAAGACGCCGCAGTGGAAGAAGTTGTCCCGGGCCAGCTGAACAGGGTGGGGAGCGAGAGACATGCACAGAGTCACACAGTGTCCTCGGCACAGCCACCGCCCCCTACCCGACCACTTCGCGCTGAGGCCTGAGGAAGCAGGGAGGGTGGGACTGTGGGACCCATTCCACAGATGCAGAAACCGAGACACGCGGGGAGTCAGGGAGCGCGAGCTGGGCCTGCCGGTTCCTAGGTGGACCGCTTCTCTGGGCCTCGGTTTCCCCGTCTGTAAAATGAGGTGATGCCTTAGGCCTTTTATGGCCTCCAAGTGCACAAGT